ATATATATGACTAGAGACAATAAAACACATCGTTTGGCAGCGTCTTTGTATCGGAACGCTCAGTTCATAACTTTCATTCGTCAGACCAACTTGTGGCATTTGAAATACTTTGTGATGAAATCGCGTTTATTTCTGTAAATACGGAACAGTCCTTTACCACCGACCAGAACAATTCTTGAAGCATTATCACCTCCAAATGCAATCTTCGTTTACTTTCACTTATGTTGAGGATTCCCCTGAAAGAACTGATTACTGACTTGAAATACAGGTGGAAAAGAGTGTCGAAGATTGGTTTCGTTATCCGAGGTGCCAGATAAACTACGAGGACATAATAACCAACCAACATCCACCTGCATCGGCGACTTAGTTTGTAGGATACAGAATTGCCGGAACGAGCCAGCAGCAATGCATAATGAAAAGCCTTCGTGATATGCTCAAGACCAGGTTTCCGCACACACGGATAAGCGTGGGCAATACTGTAAGTGACCTACTCCACGTGATGGACATAAACGATTCCCGGTTTCCCTTCCGACCTCCCGCCCCTAACACCAATTCTACAACCGAATATTAACTTTCACTATTATTTCGGTCAGTGTGTAGAAGCGTCATCCGTTTGGCGCGCCGTGTGGTTGAGGACAGTTTTTGTGATAGCACCGTCGTGCGCCGACGTTTTTCCCGTAAGGTTATTCAAATGCTTATCGGGGACCACTTGGTCTGGGTGCCATTGTGCTAAGCTAAACTTCACCCCTGTGTGCATGGGGCTTTTCCCTGAACTCACTTGTTTGGAATTTTCCAAGTTCAGCAGCGTTACCTTATTAACACAGGTTTGTTGTGTGAACAAATATAGGACTTTCAGTGGCATGATTTAAAAGCTTTGAGGCCACCCTATTTCCCCCCATCGATGTGTGGCTTTTGAACGTTTGTGAAAATGGCTTGTATTAAGTCATCAATGCCAGGGGTACTACGATTGTACTCTAAATTTCCCTGTGTCCCGTGACCACATTATTGCTCAGCTACACGACAAAACGAATTCTTAGAGTGCAGGTGTTAGGCAGCTATTTAGCGTCTTGATATAGGCTAGAATGACCATATCAATGGAAATTACTCGAAATTTGAAGTTATTCTGGCCGCTGAACTTGGGGGTCAGCCGTCATTATCGGACGCCATCCATACAGTAAATTATAAAGATCCGTTATTACTCCGCAGGATTGAGACACAATTTCACGCGCAACAACTATGTCATCTGTAGTTGTTTCCGTTAGCGAATTTTTTCACCCGTCCCTTCAAAATAATATCGTTTATGTTGACTTAACTTTTCGATCACCAACGCTCGCGTAAATGCATATCCTCTCTGTTCTTAGTTTGAAAGGCTGAGGGTCAAAACCGCAAAGTAAAAATATTTTTTCGGTGGTCAAAAAATATTTGTGTAGGTTTATTTAGATCTGCTGGCTTGCTTTCAGCTACGAACGTTGTTTTTTAAACCGTGAACTGACTCTGCACTCAACTGAAGCCTGATTTATGTCCTTTTTGTGTGTATTAGGACATCCTACGCTGCCGTACAATGACTGATGGCATAAACGAAGTGCGCTTCGACATTCAGACTGGCAGAAAAACCAGCGTACGATTTCGGTGAGTTACCAACTTCCGATTCAAAATAACCCAATTAATATTGTCTGAAATGAAGTTCGCTTGATTCATGCTACCTCCAGTTTCTACTACACGGTGATTGTCAACTGCATACCTGGGCATGGGGAAAACAGAGCTGTACGTTTACAACAAAACTGGAAGCTTGTGCTGGTCATTACTTATGGAGAAACTTAACAAAGGCCGACAAGTATGCACGGCAGTTATAAAAACCATGTTCTTATTAGATGGGCGCTTCGTGCTGCTGAAATGTGACATCCAATCACCATCTGTCTTTATGTCATATTTGTGTAAGAATGTAAATAACCGTTCAGCTGTAAGCCATTTTATCGCCTAGCTGTCATGCCACCGGAAGAAACCACGAGGACTGGGATGCAGTCAGGTTACCCAAGTCCAGTCAAGATTCCGGGGTTGTGTTCCAACCACCGATCTTCCGGTCATGTGTCTTACTCACTATGCTATCCCCGGTTCTCATACTTGCGTGGTGAACATGAAACCACGTAGGCTAGTCAGTATTCTTCAAAATAATACTCGATGCCTTCAATCAAACCCGAAGTATCTGGCGTATCTAGACGGAGGAATAGTCCACGAATTCTTAACTGAAAAATAGAATTATTTCCCAGTTAAGTCGGCGGAAGCGGGGATCAAACTAACAAAGAACATCAGAATAATGGTTTTCTCCGTTTTCCGCACATAACGTGAAAGAATCTGGGAGCTTGTTTCAGCCAGCTGAGGAAGTCTACGTTGACCATCGGTAATGGTTTTACGAGGGATTCGGTGACTCAGGAGACAATGCTCAGTGGAGAGTCTTAGAAGCCAAAAAGACGTAACTCTGATTATTACTTAGGTTATGGGTGATATCGATGCACAAGGAAAGTCAACCTAAAGCCGTATAAAATTGTTCACTGATCTCGCAAAACCTACGAAGAATGTGGTCTTTCTTCAAAATATCCTATTCCGATACACTTCATAGCCTTATTCATGCTTTTACTCCAAGTTGTGTTACCAGTTAGCATTCAACAAAGAGTCGAGTCGCCATGTAGATATTTGATGTGATTTCTTCGGAAAAATTCGGCTACTAATAGGTATCACGGTTAGCTAACTGCCTTGTGAATGTGAACAACCCCAACTCCCTTTATTTCACTGGCAAGTGGGAAGCAGATTATTCTGTTAATGCAAGAAAGAGGTGGATAGCAAATGGACCTATGTATTTCTGTCAACTTGGTTAACTCTACTCATTCCAGTCGATCTCCTTGTACCAATTAAGTTGGGTCAAGAAAAAAGCGAGCAACAAGTTGAAGAAGTCGGTGAACTTAAAAGCCTGGGGGTGTAACCACAGAATATGAAAGTTTATAAAGGAGTATTTGGTGTACTTTTCAACCACATTCGTCAAATATATGATGTACAATCAACCTAGCATTTCTTTGTCAGTCTTTAGGCAATCATGCTACATTCTGATGTTTGTGCCAGTCTTTTATGATTAGCATTGCAAGGTAAGCAAAGTTGATGGTGGGCATTCTAGTGTGCATACTCTGGGCAATCACCAGTCCAATGAATGCAGTTAAACAAATATACCCGTATAAGCTTTTAACAAGCCATACCCAAACCGTATACATCAGTCAGACTGATCTCCATATTGAAGATATTATCCTACATCTGATCCCCGACGCTTTATCGAGGACCTTAACTTTTACTTTTTCATGCTTTTGGAGAAGACCATGAATGATTGTTTTGGTATTTGGTACTACTGATCTAGTGGCACTATATGAGTACCGTTCACTTCTGGTGAGCCACGCAGCATACTGCTAATATCCTGCGTCGTTTTAGTGAAGTGAATCGTTAGTCCTTTGTTCACGAGATGCTACTTATTAAAACTGCACTGAATAGCCGCTTTGTAGCGGAATGTTTTTTAACAGATAGAATTTTACTTGTTTTACTTGTATCACATCATGATGGTCACCTCACTAACAGATTGACTGGTTGTATTGAACTAGAATATTCACTGTGAAACCCAAGCCCGGTTTTCCAGCTTTATATAGAAAAGTTCTACTGAAATGTTTGAGACTTGTCTTGGCGAAGACAGACTCAGTATTCCGTTTTTGAAGGCGCCATAATATTTTTTGCTTTGTTCACCTCCTTGGGCTCCTGTTACAAAGGTATACATGCAACTCGATATTCCCATCTTCAAGCTGTTTAGAATGGTCCAGCAAACTAAATACTGACTAATTCAGACCATGTTTGCAATTAGCAATTGGGTTTTCACCTTGCTTTTGTAGTCCTAAAAAGACGCCTAGCAATTGCCTGGCGCCTGCTTTGATCTTTTACCGACAAACAGCTTAATAAGTAGATGGCATGAACCAGAAGCTAGAACTTCATGATACACAGTCCATTTTGAGATTTTCAATCTTGGCAACAAATATCCTGTAATTTTAGAGAAAAGAAGAAAATTCTCGTATGGCTTTCATTCAGCAAACCGACTGTCTATACTTGGTTTTATACTTGCTTTAACTTTCTTTATAGGTCAAAAGCAAAAATATACGCCGTGAGCATGAAGCATACTAGAGGTCACAGAGCACCCATGCTCCATTTTTTTCAGCTGCAAATCTTTAAATCAGGCCACTTCTTCGCGAGATGAGGATAATACATGCTTTTGTAAGAACGTTCCTATCAAAAGCCATCATTTCTGATAGTGAACAGAAAAGCGGTTAGAAAATATTTCGGTCGAGTTGTTCTTTTCCAGACTGAATGTCATGTCAGCAGCGTCCATGGGAGCGCACTCTTCACACTCACTGCCAGAACAAATAGATTCGATACTCTCCCTAAAGGCCCATTGGCAATATTGTAACTCCTTACAAGCTTCGGTTTTCCCTGTTTCACTGGTAGATTACATGGGGTGCATTTCATGACAGGTGCACACCACTCGTGTGCTGATAACATTTAACCGACCAAAACCAAATCAGATACGTTGTAATCAACAGGTTGCAGCGTATCAAGAATTATTTCATTGAGACTCAGGTTAACGCACAGATTCTGGAACTGCACGCCATTTGGTACGAACTGAGTACGTGTGAGCTAGCAGTAAAACAACCAAAATGATAGCAAACATGTGTCCTCGCCCTGACAAAGCTCACGGCGTCATCTAATTTTCAAACTACATATTTCAGCGGTAGAATAACACTGGAGTCATTTAAGGTCTCCTTCAACCAATTGGTATGAACCGCTGAAGTTATGACCGTGCCTCGTTTGAAAGCGTTACACATGCAACAATCCTGTATGGCATCTGGTTTGATAGTTTTCTCTATCACGAAGACTCCCATTTGTTTAAATGTAACACACTACACAGAAAGTTGCTGAAAACTCTTCGACAGCCCGTGACCAAATTCGAACTTTTTGGGGCTCATCAGGTAGGTGCAGCCCTCACGTTTCCGTCAAACTTATACTCAAACTCAGTGATATTTGGGTTCAAGTAGAATATATGGTTGACGAGAACTCGGGGAGTGCGCGTGACTGATAAGCCCCAAGAGGAGAGAAACCGGTCGTGGGCTGTCCAAGATATATCAGCAGCCTAATGAGCAATGTCTTACGTTCATCCTATGTGCCGCGATACCTCAAATAGCAAGTGAAACATGAAGCGGGCCTGGTGCAGCACATTCATTTGAAGAACATTATAAGCGAAAGCTTCATTTGAGATTCAGGTGTCTCCCGTAAAGACCAAGTAGGTATTCAAACGATTTTGCAAAATCTCTCTTTTGTGGTCATCACCCTCTTTCTGATACAGACGATACTAGGTCAAGGAGATGTTGCAACAATGAACGTAAGCAAGATTCATATTGTTTTTCATCAGGTATGCCCCTTTAAACGCCAAGCGCTTGGGCGTAAAATCAGACAACGTTCTTGAAAAACATGAGATCCAATGGGCGTTTGGCTGGTACCACGCACCACCCACAGTATCACTTTTCTTGAAGTGCGTCGCGAGGTGGACTAGAAGCCTGATAGGGAATGACGAGCCGCACAGATTTTCTGTGGTTTCGATCCATGTAATGCAAGTTATTGCGACTGGATATCTCCAAGACCTGGATAGAAGCACTAAACTAGTTCATGTGACGTGGCAGTAGCTTATTAACCTGGATAGCCAGGGAATAAAAAAAGTTACGTGTCGTCAAAGCGAAAGCGAAAATGAGTTGGTTGAATGTATTATGAGCACGTGAGTGAGATTCTAAGTAATGCTCTCTACGAAAATAGCCAGAAAATGTTCAGTGTAAATATTTTGCGTAAAATCAAATACGGTAAGTGCAAACGTAAGTAGCTGAATTAATAGAACTGGAAAATAAGGGTTTCAAAGTAGTAAACGGTGTCTTGAGGCTTATTCAATGATCTATTTTTTATCGTTCACCCATCTTTCAGTTGATAGTGCCTAGATGCAATTCCAGTAGAGTCCTCAATTTACACAGAGCTGTATACAGTACCTGTGTATTGTGGTGTCTGTTAGTACTTTAGGCATCAAACTGGAGCTGAAATCACTGTTCGAAGTGCGATGAAAGTGACTGCACGTACATCGGATGAGTTGTTACAATAATGGTACAGACGTTGAATTCATTGACCACACAGTCTACTCAACGCAAGTTCATCTCAATCCAATTGATAGTCCATCAGATTCGATTATGTTTCATCTTAAATGTGTTTTTCCTTCTGCTGTCTGTCCGGAAGTTCTCATTACCTTGATGCAGTTAGGATAATTCCAACGCATTCCACTATAGCGACCGCGTGATCCCCACTGCGTCTGCTTGGAGCCACTACAAGATATAGCTGCTGGCCGATGTCAGTGCCCTTCTTGTTGTCAGTTTCTATCCAGATTGTCTGAGTAAATATATGGAGGTGTAGGTACCTCGGAAATGAGTGTAGCAAGCTAGCATGAAGTCCCTTCCCCGTCCACCTTCATTCATTTCTTCACATTAAGGCTTTCAAATAAATCATGGTTGTACGGC